CTAAAACGTATATATACGACTTGGTTCTCTATGGATTGTTTTATTTTAGTGATAAGAGGTTATTCATTTCATGTTAAAACTTTAAGGTTAATTTTTTCTAGATTGTTTAGCTATATTTCATAAATTATAACTGCTAGTCAAGTGAAAGTTTTAGTGCATCTGATGTGGTTAAATCCTTTCTGTTTAATGAATTTTTACACATCATGCTCATTATAATTTTAATACATATTTGTTGTAGTTTCTTAGGTAATAACTATATATATTTAATTGGACGAAACTTTTAGTTATTAATGTACCAAATTTTATGATCAAAATAGATGATTGGAAATTGTGTCAATCCTTTTCAACAGTAACCAATGTATGTATTGTTACTTGGTGAGTTAATTATAGAAATGAGATTCTTATGAATAAATGATTTATCAAAAGTTAATTGCCAGTAAAATGCATTCACTACTCGATAAGATATGTCCTTTGAAATCCCTTTTATTTATTTATTTATTATTATTTTTGGGGTGGGGTGGTGAGGGGGAGTGGTTTCAAACATTTATGCAATAAGACACTTTAGACCTAGAATTATAAATGGTTCAACGATAATTATGTGGAAATTGGAGTTTGACATAGCACATAGGTTTTACCTTATATCCCTACAAATCCAAAAAGCATAGTTTAATGCAAAACAATACAAGGTTTGTATTTTCATTTAAGTGTCCTCTAAAACCAAGAAAAGAAACTAAATGCCCATCTTGGGGGCTATTTACTGAAAATAATTTGTGTATTTCCTTTTCGGAGATTTAAATTATGTGTCGATATTTCATTTTAGCTAGTAATACATATAAATAAATAAGAGATTGAGTAAGAGATTGAGTATGCTGAAATTCCTAAATAAAATGATACGAACTTGTGATTTTTGCACATTGATCTCGTTGGCGGCTAAAAATATCTCCAGTTGTTATCTAATATGTTAAAATTTCAGTTAAGTAAACCTTTCTTACTTTTCACGCTTATGCCATATGGTTAAATGTATAAATGTGTCCACTTATTTGCTCTTATATTAACATGATATATGATTATCAAGTGGAGTGAGAGTAGGGGCGTCCATGTGTGTTGATAAAAAGGGACCTATCCCATTATGGGCTCCAACAATGACTAAATGAAATGCTAGTCCATATTATAAATATAACATTTAGTGGTCCCTCGTTGGCTTATTGAAGATCAAGGACGAGCCCCAGAAAGAAAGGACATGATGCTGGTTATACAGGGAAGCTGCAAATTGCTTCTATTTTATTCAATGTTGTTGTTGAGTTAATAATATATCATCCAGTTTCATGGGGGGCTTGATTATGATATCTTTCAACAAACTTCATGGTATGTTGTTTTGTATATCATAGTATTATTAGTAGCTCGATTTATCTCACCATCATTCAGCTATTCTTCGCATTCGAGTTATCGTCGGGACACTCAATTTCATAGTCTTTTATTTTCATCTACTCCATCCTTAAAATTGCAAGCATATTCTAATGCTAATTGGACTAGCAATCATACACACCACCTTTCTACCACTTGTTTCTGTATCCGTGTTAGTGATTTCTCCTCTCTTAGAAAAGCTAAGCAAGATACCGTTTTCAAATTTTCACAGAAGCAAATTATCGTGCCACGGTTCTACAACTCGTGAGTTACTTTGGTTATGTTGATTGTTCGCAGATGTGGGTGTACTTTTTCTTCAAACTATGTCATTGTATAATGACAATAAAAGTGCACAATTCAATATTCCATAAAAGTACTAAATATATTGACATTAATTATGTCACTCAATATCATCATCTTCACTATAACATTACCTTTCGTTCGTTCATCCATGCAAATTGCTGATTTGATTAGAGTCACATTCCACCTCGCAATTTCCTTTTCTTGTTCAACTCTTGATGCTTTCTACAACAGCTACATGAGTTACTAAAAAGTTATAAATACTATTGCTCACTAGTCTTGATTTCCTAGCAAGACTATTTTAAAGCTTAATATTCTTATACTTTCATTAAAATTCAATTTATCCGATTTTGCTACAGTAGTTTGTCCTTTTTTCCCCCCCTTTACATTGTTTTCCCGCTTTACCCTTGAAAATCCCACCTTACACTAATTAACACATTGAGGGCTTAATGGTCAATTGCGCCTACAGTTGTTGACTTTGCACAGACAAGTTTTTTTTTATTTTAGTTTTAATTTTTTTAATTATACTATTAATATATTTTTTTTCATAAAAATTCCTAATAAAATTATTATCGCCCTACTTTTCTTAATTCCTTTACGTAAAATGTATAAAAAAATATATTTTCTATATTACATCGAAACTCATTTCGAGCACTATATCATAGACACGTCAAATGATTTAAATGAATATCGAAAATAGTTAAACAAATATCAAACGTGTAAATGAAGAGGAAGGGAAAATAGTGAATTTTGACCTCGAAAACGATATCCACCCAGCCTAACGAGGTGGCCACGACGTGCCC